TGGCAGTGTTATCTCAGGGGAGGGCTAAATTTAAAGTAGATACAGGTCATTGTCCCCTTGGCTGCAAACCATGACATCGAAGAACAGTCGCCTTGTGAGGCGGAGCTTGATTCTTCGAAAATATCATTTTGGCATTAGGAAAAGGGCAAATTGAATGGAAACGCTGGCGTGCTCCGTCGCTCTTTCTAATCTATCTAGATATGCTCTTGATGTATCAAAATTGATATTTTAGTTTTTTTCGTGCATCTAATGTAAATTTTTAAGGTAGCACGTTTGATTTCTCAGCACAAGTGAATCCTGAGAGTTCTGAGTGTGAGCTTTTGTTAAAGCTAGTAATTAAAATTGGTTTGTCATCCCTCTTTTGGCTTGGTTTGTTCGAAGGGGGCCGAGTGCTTGCTTGTGCATGTGGTCCAGTTTCAGAAACGGTGTCGAAGATTCGGCATTTACTCAGACCATGCCACAAGCGAAGGCCAGTTCTTGGGATTCGACTACGGACCTTTTCGTCGTCCCTGCGAGCAGCAGTGTTGACCGCTGCCCTCCGTGACTCATCTGGCGAGGGGGAAGCTGTTATGACCGCCATCGATAGGCGCCATGCTGTCCCTGAGAAGCGTAGCCGGGCAGCGTTCCCACGCCTGGAACCGCAGTTTTCTTGAAAACAGCGTCGAGAGCTGACGGGGGAGCGGCGCTCTTTTAATCCTCAAACAAGTCGCCGACTCGCCGAATGCCTATGCCCGCCAGGTATTGTCCCTGCTAGCCGGCGGATGAGACGTCATGTCGCCACGAAGCTGTAAGCCGTTCCAGAGGGGACAACAAAGAGCGTATTCCTTTGAAGAAACGGCGACCGCCGCCACAAAGTGCCCTGCTAATTGAGCGGACAGATTGGCGGACCGTTTGATGTCTGCTGTCCGAAGCTTGGGACCCCTCGACCAGCGACATACACGACGAGCAAGAGCCTCTCTGGCGCCACCTTTAAGTGCAGTGATCTTGACTCGAAATTGGATGTTCACGTGCGCCGTGCATGCTCGTACCCCTCACCTGTTGTGTGTGTGTGTGATTGGTGTTCCACTGAAGAAGGAGGAGCCCGACAGGGCTTATAACGGCGCCGCAGAGTGCAGGACGTCGCTCTGAACCCAGTAAAGGTTCAACCACCACGTTCGTAGTTTGTGAAGGCTCTGGACCAAGAAAAGGTTCAACCACCACGCTCGTGGTTTGTGAACTCTTAACCTCATGCTGTAAATATTTGTAAATAGTGCCATAAACCTGTTTGTTTTTCGTATCCCCATCTTGTAAGCGGTCGTTTCCTCAACCCGAAGCTACACAACGCTACCACAGCACCCCGGGGTCACAACAACTGGTTGACAGCGGTGGGATTCCCAACAGCAACCACATGTCGGCGACAAAGTGTCACTGCTGCTAGATTAAAACTATTGCGTGCTAACCCATAAATTGCGAAAGTTTTAAAAAGTAGCTCGTAACGACATGTAAAATTTACTGCTGTGTTGTGTGAAATAACGAAGCCAAGAAAGCGTTTCATGACCTTTTCTCGCAATATTTGGTTTCACTCCGACAGGGTGCCCAGAAGCGTACACTACTAAGGCTACGACACACTCCGCATGACGATTTCGCATTGTAGCAAGCGACCCAATCGTTACAAGCTACCGTCCGGAAATCAAAATAAACCCTCGATAACGAAATTCACGGCAAAATGCGGCCGATCTCTCATTATTCGTGGAAGATGAGAATGTAAAAAAAAATGTAGTCGATACCTTGGATTCCTTGAAGTACGCCCGGATAACACGCATCAAGAGCAAATTGGAACCGAAGCGAGGAACAGGAGCGTAGCCATTCGTGCGTCCGTCCGTGCGTCCGTCCATGTGTCTGTCCGTCTGCTTTTCTTGTCCGAGCGTCTATCTAGTGAGCAATTTAAGTACCGCCGTCTCGCTCTTCATCATATATTCATGCACAAGTACCGCCATCTAGCGGACAATCGAAGGACTGAACAAGAGGATATACCACATTTTCGCTCTCAGTGCTTTGTTAACACCGAGAGCGTGACAACGACACCGTGCTATGTTCTTCGTAACCTTGGACGTGCGCATATGTGCTTGAGGGCGGGTATGAGCCACAGGTTACGTACTACGACAATGGGACGCACAAGCCACGCCATAAGGAGCGTCGCCCCTAAAATACAGAAAAAGACTAGCGCACGGAATCGAACGTCTGACCTCTTGCTTTCGTGAGTGCGAGGCATTAACCATGGAGCTTCGAAGGAGCACCTCCTTCAACGTTGAAGCGGCAAGCTATTTATATCTACCACTTACCACTGGCGATGACTATCACGGGTTCTATTATGGGTTCAACATCACCAGAAAGATTGCTCAATCAACGTGCGTCGCCAGGTCAACACGACGGGGTTTCGCGCGCTTCTATCTCCGACCCGTACTTTGCCCCGCGGAGAGGGGGGGGGGGTGACGCTCACGCATGCGCGCGCTTATCTCACGGTGGGAGAGTCGGATGCCTTGGGCATTCACCGAAACAATTCTGTGGTACTCATCGGGCACACGAAGTTTACTGCACTCGCTGCACAGTCTCAGTTTGCGAAAAGGGCGCCCTTTTCATACGCAGCTAAGTAACAACTGGGGCTCTTCTTCGCGTTCTCGTGAGACTGGGAGTACGTATTGTGCGTCTTCTGTGCGTTAGAAACGCGAGGCACGTCTCGATATGCTTGCCACTTCTCGCATGACCTTACACTTTTTGTTATCACGGCCATTGTGTCGCCTTGGCGGCAAAGCTGTGGCATGTCTCACCATGTTATTCGGCCATGTTGCGCCTATGTTTTTCGGAATGTAGCACAAAAAGCAGCACATCAGGGCTGTCATTTTAGCATAGTTATGTGGTATGTGCAAAAGCTGAACAGCGAAGACACATCCTGATGCGTGAATAAAGAACACGCAATTAATTTTGTTTGATGTTGCCATAAGCTGATTAACGAAATCCATTCTCATGCGGTCGTTTCTCCATCATTCAAACTGCCGGACAAGTAAATTACCACATCAGGGATCACGTCAATCCAAGGAAGGATACTATTGACAGCCACCTAGCCGCACAGCGCTGTACGTGTCTGTCATGCTTTGTTTTATCAGTGCAGAATAGCTGACCAAGGTGCACAGGAAAAAAAAAAGGGGGGGGGGCGGACGCGGGTGAGTTTGCTGTCAACAGCACTTTTCACCAAGAAACTTGCGTGTGTTTCTTGTGGGTAACGGATTTTTTTTTTCCTTCATTCACATGGTCTGGCAGAATTGTTTATCTTGTTCTCTCCCACACATTCTTTCATGATTATTGTGGCTGTTTTTTTCGCACAGAATACAGCTTTGTTTGCAAATCATGGTCATCTCTGTCCGGTGGTTGGCGTCGTTTCCCGATTCCTTGAATATGTACCAACCGGTCTGAATGTGAACTCTAGTACTAACACTCTTAAAAATATATTGATAAAATGGTTGCAACTGCAAGCAAATAGGTAGTAACTGCAGCACTTACCACTTTTCCTGGACCGTTACTAACTTTTTGCTTCCCGTTTACTACCTAAGTTAGTAAACAGTTACTAGCTGGAACCATTTCCAACTTTTTGTTACCTCTTTACTACCTACGTTAGTACACTGTTAGTAACTGTAATGAAACAGGTAGTAACTGAAGCTGTTCCTACCTTTCTTGGCTCGTTACCAGATTCTCGCTACCTGTACGTTGACTATCTAATCTAACATAGTAGGTGATACCAATTGTATTCGTTTATAAACATAGCCGTCTGGATGTATCGTCTTTAAACGGATAAAACGAAAAAAATAAAGCAGAACATGTTCATGGATCAAGAAAAAAAAACGTTTATTTTAAAAATACGCAATCAAGATATGTACGAGCTATTCTGCTCTGGTCAAAGTGGAGAAGTACAAGTTAATGAAAAATAAGAAAGTGCTACACGTGCTGCAAGAGACAATTACAGCAAATTTAGTGAATTACAACAAGCTAAAGGGACAGGCAGATCAAGAAGAATAAAATCGTCGAACTTATTCTCGAGTCGCTATCTAGGGCTGTTTCACCATAGTATCGTAGTTTTTGAACATAAAACCCCCTGAAAAGTTGTTACCTTTCACCCCCAATATATTTAACATCCAAATGAGACCAAACTATTGGGTTCAGTACCTTGTTTCGGGCGCTGTAAATAATGCTTTATTGTGGCACTTTGACAATAATTAATGGGGCATTTTTATAAGTACGGCTGTATGAAAGTCTTGTGCTACGTCTCCAAACGCACGCGAGCAGTCAGTATATACAGAGTTGTAGGCTCACATTTTTATAATTTATCCTGAAACACAAATGCTCACTTGTGCCAAGCATGCATTTACAAAATAGCGGTCATATATATACTGTAGTCGCACTGTAGCGTTGTGAACTTGTTGGATCTTTGTATTCTTCACAGTTCATTACACACCACGCAAGATTGCCCGAAGTTGTACAGTGATGAGTATTAATAATTGAGAAATATAACAGAATGAGCACCGTAATATCGCTTACTACTGTTTTTCTTCACACCTTTCTAAAGTTACTACCTATGGTTGGTAACTGCTCGGATAGCAACAGTCACTAAGTGCTGGTAGTAGCGGCAATCGTAGTAACTGTTCCCACGCTCCCTGATACTGACTTCCAACTGGCCCAAATAGCCGTTCTTATTAACTGCACTTACTAGCAGGGTTGCAACACATGTGACAAACTATTACTAGCCCAAAGTTAGCAAGTAATACTACCTTTTTGCTTCCGTTCAGCGGCTACGACAGAGCTGAGGAGACAAAATTGTGTCCAAACAGCGCAGACGACAGGAGGAAAAACGTACTGGACCGTCGTCTGCACTGTTTCGTCACGATTCTCATGAACCAACTAACCGAACTTGTGATCCTATAGAGCGCATTGAAACGCAGCGTACCTCGCTGATTGATGGTTGCACCCACCGTTAGAGGCGATGTCTGGGTCTTGGTTGCGCTCCGAGCGCAAGAAGTAGGGCCGCACATCTTGCCAACCCCAACCATCAGCAGCCATGATGGGTGCGCCAGTAATCATAGTCAAGTGGACTGCCTCGCACGTAGAGCATGTAGTTGAGGACACTCGAACCACCCAGCACTTTCCCTCTTGGCCACTTGCTGCGCTGCATACCAAATATATTGCATTGCACAAAATTAGACACATGTTGCCCACGCCTTAAAATCTTAACAAATTGTCTAAATATTATCTTGCCGCTTTTTGTTTCTCAGCCAAAGTTGCTATGAGCTCCGAAGACCAGGCATTTTTCATCGCGTAGTCGTCCGCCAGTGGCGTATGTCGGTGCACCGGATCCGAGCATGATAACCAAGCATGATACCCAAGCATAAAAAAGGGAGCGTATAACGTGGTCTACCAATTGCTCATTTTATGACAAAGAAGTCAATACATATACATGCACATTACAATTATGCGCTAGCACTACGCGCACAAAATGTTTCAATACCTTCATCGCAAAGTACCCACCGTGGGACCAAAAAAACATGCGTCAGAATAACATGAAACGCAGCCAACTATTTCCTAGACTATCGCAATGTGCGCAACCTACACAGCCCAAGGAATTATTTGTCTTTCTTGTTGCACCTAAGATGACCCCAAAAAAATGCTTTGACCATGGACAAAGGAAAACAGTAATGAAAAAATAAGCAAGAACGCCTCCTACATGAATCACTTTATGCAAGATTTTGACAGCTTACTATGCAGACATATTAAAGATCTAATATGCACCTCTGCCCCAGTTTGTTTTATTCACACCTCCTCATTCTTGTGAAATACCGTGCCGTCGTTACTGAAGGCTTGATATCTGGGGTTTAACGTCCCAAAACCACTATATGATTATGAGAGACGCCGTAGTGGCGGGCTCCGGAAATTTAGACCACCTGGGGTTCTTTAACGTGCACCCAAATCTGAGCACACGGGCCTACAACATTTCCGCCTCCATCGGAAATGCAGCCGCCGCAGCCGGGATTTGAACCCGCACCCTGCGGGTCAGCAGCCGAGTACCTTAGCCACTAGACCACCGCGGCGGGGCGTCGTTACTGAAGGCTCCAAGTAGTTTTTGTTAAGACTTAACGAACCTTCACGTTTCTCTTCTGAATTCAAATCCTGAAAACCTGTGTTTGTTTCAACCTAATTTAGTTTCCGATGCCATTACCCCCCAAAAGCTGAGTTATTTTTAAAGTGTATTGTGGAGGGCTTCCTCAAGATTATTTCGATCATCATCCTACTCACTTGGTAATTTCTACAGACGGAACGCAAAATATTCACGTAGAAGTGGGCTTTTTTTTTCTCGAGTTTAATTGGTTCTTAACGCTCTGACAGCCAGCCATTACTTCCAGTTTTCTCGCTAAATTTCTCGCGATTGCCCTGGCTGTTGGAAAACTGAAGTATCAGCAATCAAAAGTCATCCTTTCAAACGCCTCGTCTGTTTGTACACATTTAACGTCCGCCAAGCAATCACCTTTTATCAGGACATTTCGGAGTCCTGTACCACGTAGGCTATCAGAAGTTTAGTTTTCCTGGTCCCCGGGCATCCTGGGATCTTTATGAATGAAATGGCCGACTGGCTCGCTATGACTTCTTCAAATGGCTCGGTATTACTAGCAGCTCTACATTTTCCTTTTATTACTGCAGACAGACGCCTGTTATTCCTAAAAAGAACAATGAAGCAACGCTGAATGCAACTTTTGGCTCTTGCAGTTCTCATTGAACACCGCAAAATACCTTGCCCGTCGATTCAAAATGAGTCTCACAAGCTTTCGCTGCAACGTTTCGCGGTTGAATTATGATATTCACAAATCTAGCTTCTCATTATTAACCTATGCAGAGTTTTAATTAAACCACACACACTAGACCACTTCCTTCTCTCATGCCGGTGTTTTCGCTCCGCTGCGCCTAATGTATCTAAAAAAGCCGATCAGCATTTTGGGATTAGCATTTAACACATCTAATCTGTTATCGTTTGGAGCCAGTCAGTTGGGTACGCACCACGGTGTTGTTTGTCTGCACCGAAAAAATTCTTTGAGGCAACCGGAAGAATACACTGCTAGTGTTAGTGCCAGATAAATAGAATTTGTTTTTTTTTCTTCTTTTTGTCGATCTTTAATCCCTGCGGGAATCTCGAATTTGCTTGCCCTTTCCAATTTTTCATGTACATTACGTTTCGTCCTTCTCCAATGGTTTTTGTGGCAAAGCATTCATATTTTGTTTAGAAAGTACACAGGGCCAATCCACCTTGTGGGTATGAGCGAAGTTCTTTTAGGCGAGAAAACAAAACTGAACAAAACGGAAGCAAAGCGAAAATAAAGAGCAGCATACGAAAAACAAGCCGATAGTGGCGTTCAATTCGAAAATCGCTACACACGGGTATCTAGGGAAAAAAAACGCCAACAATAATTTCTTAACAGATGCTGAAAAACCTTAAATGAATTCTTATACATCAAAAACTCCAAAAAAAAAAGGTACGCAGAAGAAGCCATTGGCACATAAATATGCAGAACGTTATACTCGGTCACCGATGAACGCAATTTCTCGGAACGGGAAATCAAAGGAAGGCTTACGCATTTGTTTTCATTTATTGACCGGTAAAATAAGATTATTATCCTTTCAGTTTTCTCGCGTACCTTTGCCAAAAGTGCTATTTTACGGGCAGCGAAAAAAATAAGGACAAAACCCAGCTTGGACTATTGTCAGTCTATTACTACATTCTCAAACTGGGCTGAACGGTGGCAAATAGTGCAATGATAATTTCAGCACTGATGGTTACCCCTTAAGGCCGGACTGTTGACGCATGCGTTCATGAAGGCATCGTGCCATCTTCACTGTTTGAGGGAACACGTGAGCACATGGCTCACGTAGGATGCTTTGATCCGGGTTGGAGACACCTTTTGGCCCTCTCCGCGTCACGTTTCTTCGCGCGCAGCTATTTCAGTTTAAAAGTGTTAGGCAAAAAGCAGTGGCCAGCGCGAAAAGGGTGACGCTAACACGTTGTTACTGAAGTTATTGAGCTCAGCTCTTTGATCCCTATGACAGACTGCTGTGTGCCACGGTGTACCAGTTCACATGCGAAAGCCCCCCGGGCATTTCGCTTCGGTTATAACAGCGAGCAAAATAAAAGAAGAGAGGTACAAGTGAAACGTGACCCCTATACCATCTGACAAAGAACCGAGATATGCGAGAATAGTTGCTGACTTGCCGGACTGTTTGAATCGTGCATTTTTATCACTGGCATGCTGTTGAACAAACTCTTGCACGAATTAAATACTTGCTGCAGTATACATGCATATTCACCATAACCGCATACCACATTCTTGTGAAGCTTCTATTTCAGAGGGGCTGTTAAGTTCTTAGACCGTGCAAAGTGAATAGATACTCGGGACAGCCTGCCTATGTCTGCCTAAACTAAAAACTTAAGCTTAGATAAGCCTTCCTAAAGCAAGTTATACCGGTGTCACACGGGCACTTTTCTTCGCGATCAGGGTAATCTGGATTGGTTTTCTTGATCGCGATAAACTTCATGACCGCTGCTTCAAGACCCAAGCTAATCCGGTTCAAGATTGGGCCGGACGAAATCCACCGGGTGGCGACTGCAGGCGTAAAACATGTCATTGACAAAAGTTGGGGTACAATAATTCAAAAAAGCCCTTTATCAGCAATGTTAATCGTTCAAGAACTGTTCGAACATCAAAAACTCTGCCTCTACAAAAACAATTTATTAAATTGCTTTGCCCAACCCTTATGCTGGTGTCACCCGAGCATTTGAAATCGCGATAAGTGCCGATCCGGATCAGCCAGATGTGGATTAGGTGCTGCTACACGGTCACTCTTAATCACAATCAGGCGCGATCAGGATGAAGAGTAGCGCGATTTCATGTCATCTTCACCCCCTGACCGAGCTTGTTGAAAGCAAAAGAAACAAGAAAATCAAGCATACTTTCGCAAAAATATTAAAAAGCTAGATGTTCATAAAAATAATTTTGAACTGTTTCAATTGAAAATATCTGTAATATTGCATATTTTAAGATTCCTACAGTCCACATGTATTTATGGGACAAGCAGACGATAAGCAGATGACAAATTCAACTCTCGCACCGTCAGAGCAGTTAGAGTACCTCGAAGCAAATTAATCATAAGTGTTATCATAATTTCGAGTACATCGCTGTGTACGCGCACTTCAACGTTCAACGAAGAGACCTTTACAGTAATTGACCTGGCAGGAGCAACTGGGAGTCTTGAGGCGCCAGTAGTGAAACTCTGACGCGCACAATTAGATTTCCGTTTCGCTGTTGCTGGACCGCTTCGAGCAGTTGCCATTCGAGAGAAAAATTAAGATTAATATACTCTCACAGAAGTATAGGTAACTCCAAAAAAACTGTGGCACATGCATGAAGAATTTATGAAATTACTTTTGTCGTGGCAGCAAAGTTTTTGACATTCAAGCGGTTCTTGCACGAATAACATATTGCTGATAAATAGCTCTATTGAAATATCGTACTTTGAGTTTTGTCAATGACATGCTTTACGGCACGCAAGTGCCATCTGGTGCATTTAATTTGACCCAAGCTCGAACCGGATTAGCTTGGGCCCTGTAGCAGCGGCCATGAAGTTCACCGTGATGAAAAAAAAAACGATCCGGATCACCCTGATTGCAATACGAAGTGCCCGTGTCACACTAGTATTATTTTTCGCTTTTATTTCTCATGAACCCGGCTCGTCGCGGCGAAGTGTGAATCTCATTCCACGTGCCAAAGTGTCACTTCTGGCGCCTCAAGTGTTCCTGTCACTTCTGCCATCGGTCAATGATTGTGATGTTCGCTTCTTCCAACCACGAAGTGCAATACCTTGCAACGAAGTCGAAAGACTGGGTACAGCCATTATCAGTTTGCCTTGAGGTGTACCGACGGTGCGAGAGTTCCACTTAGCGCGGAAGACGACAGTCGTCTGCTTATCGTCTGCTTCTCCCATAACTAGACATGTGGTCGATACGAATCTTAAAATATGCGGTACTTTAGATATTGTTCCAATTTAAACAGTTAAAATTTGTTGTCTTATAAACATCCAGGTGTCATATATATTGCGTTTTTATTCAACGATGCCCGATTTTCTTTA